AAAATCGCAGTAGGAGCAAAACAGGGCAGAAGGAGAACGGAGAGAAAGAGACTCGCTCGTTGTTTTGCAGCTGTTTTGAGAGTTTGTCGCGGGGAGACTTGCTCGGCGCGCTCGAAATACGTATTGCAAAAACTGTGCCAGCTATCGCGGTGCGTACGAGCGCGCGAAGGACGCGACGCTGCCGCTAATCGCATTGTTCGATTTCACGCCCTCGCCATGGCGTGTCCGTACAATAGCGCGCCGGTCTCGGCAGGGCGTTTATTACGAATCTCGCGATCGTGACACGCCGCCGATGCGTACCGCCGCTGCCGTGCGATCCGCTCATTACGTTTCATTTGTCCGATGCCATGAGCGCCATTTACGCATGGCAGGCATCATTAACCCTTTTAGCGTCGGATGAGTGAGGCATCGATCGTACCTACCGTACGTTATAGATGCGCGCAGGGACGGCCTTAGCGCACGTGGGCCCCAATTTGGGCCACTTTGCTGGAAGCGAGACTTAAGGTAATTGGCCGCGGTGTCAGGTGACTGACTCATCCCGGTAGTCAGCTGAAATATCAGATTGCGACAGCTTGCTATTCCGTCCTCCGCGGAGGCGCTCGCACTGTGAGCGCGGTTTAATGCGTTAAAAGACAATAAGTATATAGAGGGTGTCGCGCGTCTCTCGTAATCACGATGGCACATCGCCTCGATCGACTTGGCAGTCGATGCTTTGCTGGAGTGAATGTCGAAGCGGGTCATCATTCATCGCGACCTTTCGATTTTTCGATGTTGCATATACCTCCGTAACCGAGTCACAGAATGGAAATTCTATAAAAGCAGAGTCTATTTCAAATGACGTTCGATGCCGCGCGATATTCCGCCGCGGAAGAAAATTCTGGGAAAAAAATTCGGATTCATCAGAAAATCTACCGTGGAAATCCAGGTCGCGAACGCTGGAGTTTTCTGTGTTCTCTACAAATAATATTTAAAGATATAAAATATCCATATACACGCACACACAGCTGTCGGGCGGCGCGATTTTTGCGGAGAATACGGTGAATGTATCGAGAAATATCCTCGGTAGCGCCAAATACAACCGCGAAAAAAAAAAACGCCACCGCGCGGATGTATTTCCTCAGATCTCTGATGATGTTTCAATTATATTCCGAGGATATTAATCGTGAATACGTGGCAATGTGACTCGCGCCCATCCGTAATACGCGTATCAACCGCGAACAACGCTCGACAAATATTCTCGATGACATATCGCTGTGCAGTCTTGCGATCATATTTTGTCACACGAATCCAAAGTGCAAGGGCACGTTGCAAGGGTGAAAGCAAGCATCGAGCTGAAATTTCAGTGCCATCGAAACGCATAATACCCGCGCGTGTTATGTCCATGACAATGGAAACGCTGATAATTACCGACGGCGATATTCTTTGCCGTCGCGGCCGCCGCCGCCACCGCTGCAGCGGCGTCGGGAATTGTACAGCGTCGAAATTGTGTACCGGTTTAGACGCCCGTGAAAGCGCTTCTATTGGTCCCGACGTCGACCCCTGGCTGTCCCCTGGCTGCATATCGACGTATTCGGGTACGCGATATACGCTCTCGTGTGTACGTTCTCGAGAGGAAAATAAGCGCGCCGCGTTTCGTTTCGCGTGCCGCACTCCGCACCGCACCGCGCAAACCGGCTGCGTCGTCGTCGTCGTCGTCGCGGCGTTATGCGACCGTTTTCGACGCGATCCGTATACCCGTCAGGTACACACGGACAATCTCGGTAGAGGCGCGCGTTTTTCTTTTCTGAATACGCGAGCGATTTACCTTTATCCCGCGACGTCCCGTGCGATTTAAGATTTAAGAGCTGCCGCGAAATACTCCTGGCCGCGCGAGAGAACGATAACTTGATACGGGAGAAATTTCACGGCAGGCTGGATCATAAATCTCCGATATCGTTCAATTGAAAATCAATATGCGTGCGTATTATTCGCTGATCGCGGGCTGCCTCACGCTGCCGCGCCGCGAGTCACGGTGAAGCGGCATTTTTCATTCGGCGCTCGCTACTTCCCTAAGTATCCGCGAATTTGTAGCAGCCGCCTTTCTGTTTTAGCGGACCGGAAAATTATGCCGAGAGATTCTGTTTTCGTTCCAGACGACTCGTAATAAAACGACGTTCTCTGCTTTATCCACTTATCTTTTCTCCCTCGTCAAAGGTAAATCCTTTTCTCGCGCGGAATATGCTGAATAATCTTTAGAGCGAGAGGATTGCTATACCAGTGTGTTGTTATAATTTCATCCTAACGATCATAAATGTAAGAGAAAATGGGTATCGTTACAAGGACACTCTCTTATTTATCGTGCGAGAGATCTTTGTAGTTTTTGCGTGCATATTGATCGTCACGATTGAAATCGGGTTCTAAATTTTTGTCTCCCGTCAGGGTTGAACCCGACACCTAGCGACGACTATTACCGGAAAGAAAGGCGCTGCGTCGGCAACTTTCCCGAATCTCAGCTTTTCAAATGTGTGTTTTGCAGAAAAAAATATGTCGGTACCGTGTATTCCGCGCATTATGTGCATTTTAAATATTGATCCAAATTTTTGTGTCGAACGCGTAACACGAGATTTTGTGCGATCGATCGTCCAAATCAACCCCCGCGACGTACAAGTTTAACCACTCCTCGATGGATGGCGTTGTCTCTCCGTCTCCCCTCAAAACTACCACCCGCTTCAATCACGATTTTATCCATCATTGTGCCATTGTGTCATCATTGTGTCATTATCAAACAATATTAAATTTATATATATATATATATATATATTAATTGTCGAACGACACAGGAACGAGCTAATTGGTCCCATTATGAGCAATGATTAACTACACTGAATTTAAATGTTCTCGTTATATCTCTGCTCGGATAAATCTCCCGGGCTTTTCTGATAATAAGATTAATAACATTACTTAATAAGTACATAATGTAGTTTCATGCAGGTTGCATAAGAAAAGTGTTAAGCGATATATGCGCTCTGAATCGCCGCAGAAAAGATTCCACAAACCGGATTAATTAATCGCGTCAAAAGAACTTTGGCGAGAAACATGTAGAACGCGCGAGTAATTTACGAATCGCTTAACGCGCAACTCTCCGTTAAATCAAGATAAACGAGCACTAGCGAGCTCGCTCATCCGCGGAAGACATCGACGAGACAAACCACACTAGATTCAACTTCACATGTTAATGATTTATTAACTTAGTTTCACATACAATAGTATTATGCGTGAACGATCAAACATTGTATAAACAAAATTTACAAAATAAAGTATAAGTCTTTACAGCTAAAAGCTACTAGTAGTAGTGGATCACATAGCTTCATACTTTTCCTCGGGCCCGGCAAATATTGCTTCCCGAGACTATTTCTTTTACTTTATGTTCTATCTCTCATGTATGTATATATATATGTATTTATATCTGTATTTATATATTTATATATTTATATATATATTTATATTTATATATATATATTCATATTTATATATTTATATTTATATATATATAAATATTATGCCAAATATTAAATAAGGTAGCTTCTTCGCTAATTTGTCCTAGCGTGGAATTCGGGCGTTTTGGGACTCGGGGCTGGGATGGGGACGGGGATGAGGAGGGAGGGGGGGGTAGTTTTTCATCGTACATATGTATATTACATTCATTTAGATTTAACGTTCTTTCTATCATGTAAATATAAAATTATCATCTCTTATTGTAATACCACTGACAGTTGATATAATATACGGTATAGCTATGTTATCTGCAATAATATTTATATTATACATCAAAAGTGCATCTTTTTTCGCCGCGCTTCACTCTAGATTTGTCGATCGACGATGCGATCGCGATAAGTCGTCCGTTTTTTTTTCTCTTCTACCCGGTAAAAACCGTCGTTTCGTCTCTTACTCTTTTTGGTGCCACTTACAATCGTGCTCTCGCTCGCTAAAAAAAGTTCCGTTCACTACCTCCTTCGATACTCGTCGTTCCTCGATTTTCTCGCGCACGCACGCACGCACGCACGCACGCACGCACGCACGCACGCACGCACACATTCCTCGTTTCTCTCTTTCTCATCGCACACATCCAAATTGCGCGCAACATGCACACTGGTACATTCCGTTACAGGGGACAAAAGTGGCCTGCATGCTCGTTTCGTTATATCTCTCTCAAAACACAACAAGCGAACGAAACGCTCCGTAAATATATATATACTCTACTTTTGATAAATAATAATAGCAATAAATATCTGCCGAAAATCTCGTGAATCTCACTCACGCTCGCAATAACTATCGGTATATAGTTCTCCAAAAGGTTCGCCGCGCGTACTTAATAGCCGTACGATTTAAACCGTCAAATTTTTTATGTCTTTACGCTATGTCGTGTTTTGCCGTCCAGTCGACGCGACGCAAGGCGACGCGACACACTCGATTTCTGCGACGATGTTAGGCCCTTCGTTAAATCTCCGCTGTCGAGCTGGCTGAGCGATCGAGGAAGTAGTTTGCCCGCGAAAAGAAATCTATTTCCGATCGTGCGATCATTTCCGACGCAAAATGCGAAGAACTAAATGATTCACCGTAAACGAAATAGCATGTGTGTGTGTGTGTGTGTGTGTATGTGTATGTATGTGAAATTGCACGTTAAAGACACGTTTCCGTGTAAGCTGCGCGTGTAGAATGTTTTCTATACGATTTATGAGGATTGCTTCTCCCGTTTTACTTTCATATATTTGGCGTTATATAAAAATGTGGCCTGTATCAAACGTACTCTCTCTCTCTCTCTCTCTCTCTCTCTCTCTCTCTCTCTCTCTCTCTCTCTCTCTCTCTCTCTCTCTCTCTCTCTCTCTCTCTCTCTCTCTCTCTTTTTCTCTTTCTCTATCTATCTACATCATGCAACGACACCCGTAAAGAATGCTCTTATAAAATAGCTCTATAAATGTATGCCCCTTCCTCTTCTCACTCCCGTTGCGACGATTGAAATAATTAGAAGCCACAATTTTCGCTGTGTATTGACGGAGACGTGTGTTATTACACGCCCGACATCGTTCGCTCGACAGCTCGTGTACTTAATTAACACCGCTCGCCGACATTCGCATTAGCATTAAATAACGGCGCTCGTCGACCGTACGTCGCACGGCGTGGTTTACCAATAAGGCGTATGTATATCTATTTACAATATCATGGAAAATATACAAAGGACATCGGCACTACAGTATATATTCTCGATTCTTTCTTCTTCTTCTTCTTCTTCTTCTTCTTCTTCTCTTCTTTTTTTTTCTTTTTTAAGACGTTTGATTCTCGCGTACATGTCACTGAGGTAAGTTTTCACTGGTTTTTAAGTTACGGTCACCCTCGCATTTTACGCTCGAAAGAGCGAAGGGAGAAGTACTCTCGGCAAGCTGTGGTTCACATTGATCCTAGAAGAGAAAAACTAGCGAAGAGAGCTACGCGCCGAGTATCGAGTGTCCTTCTCGCAAAAGTCGACGAAACTGAGAGCTACTCGAAGAAAAAACACGTTCGTCTCGATTATCATCTCTCATGGAGAAACGCGCGTGAATACTATAAAGCTACTACGTGAAGACTGTCAATAATTATTTCTCAGCATGCATCATGTTGCATAATATTGTAGAGAAATTAAAGAAATTCAATATTATCGAGAGTAGCTGAATTATCGTGAAAATTGTACATGGATCACTTATAGATAATTAGCACAATCAGTTTATCTCACTTTAAAATATATAGTTTCTCATATTGCTATTAATTTTGCTACAAATTTCTTAGGCACGCTGAGATTTGCGAAAACAACGCTCGAATATCCGAGACGAGTTGGAGCGAAGAAAATCGGGTGAAATTAAATTTACCTTAACTTTAAACGGTCCCGTCGTGTGTTATGTACGTGTACAGCGATGCCAGCCATTTACGTATTTAAATCCTGTCTCTATGACTTATTTTTCCCTTTTTTATTTTATATTATTTTTTATTTTATTTTAGCACAGTACGTTTTATTGAAAATGTGCAGATATCGAAAAGTCTTTTGTTTCGTTCGCGGCCAGTGATATGTCTTTCGCCATTTATCAAATAAAACGTCGCGTCGCATGTGCGTATGCAACGTGCTTGGTCACGACGAAACGCTACGAACCGTGTCACGTGAAGCGAGAATACGATTCTCCTTTGTGTGTCGAAGATCCTTTCTTCCCTTCTTTTTTTTGTATTTATGAAACTTAGCCGGTAAATATATGTGATATCGCGTGCTTTTGATTTATTTTGATATAATTGTCCTTAAGTAGAGGCGCGCGCACTGGGAAATTCGCTTGTGATATTAGGAGCTTGCGAGACAAAGTTCGTTGAATTTTTAGTCATGCTTCGTTTTTTATTAATAGTAACGAAGCGATACATACATGTGTCGGATTATCCGCCGTCGTTACCCGTCCTATTTCTCGCGCCCTACACCTTTTAGATAATCGCGTCTGACTTCGCGTCTGACCTCGCGCAAGACGACTCATCTCGCGAGCCAATGAGATTATTGACAATCCGACGTACTTTTACAAGCCCCTGATATTTACACAAGCATCTAGATGACCTACATGTCGCGCTGACGATTATAAAAGTGGCCTAAGACGAAATCATAGGGAAATCGGGTTAACCGTGAATCTCGTTTTACAGCTTGATATACAAGATATACATTCGTCAAACTTCACCGTCGCGGGAAAGATTAACACGGTGTAAAAAGGAAAATATTCTGAGTAAACTTGGCAAACTCTGAAAATCTTTTCATACAAATGAAAATTGAAAATCGCTTGAAAGTAGCAGGATATGAATTGAAGAACTTTCTCCGTTTCGCAAAAAAAAAAAAAGATTGGATTAAACGAGACTTCGCGAAAGGTACGCGACGTCAACGTCGCGGGTACACGGTGACGTGAAGCAATTTTCTTTTGATATAGCTGATAGCTCGGATTCAATCGCACGAGCAAACCCGAGTTTACGAACTCGTTGCGTACGTGCTCGGCTAAACGATCTACTCGTAAACTCGTTACTGTCGGCCTTCCCGCCACATCTGCGCTATATTCGTTATTACGACGATATCGTCACCGTTGACGTATTTACAGGCGTAGTATAACACTAAAAAGTCTGTACGGACCCGTTTTGTAGTTAAGTGTTTTTACGCGATCGCAGTGCGGTTACAGCGAACGTTTTCGGCGCTTATTCTTTTCGACACCGATCAGGATTCAGAACGCATGCGTGCGTTCCTCGAGGAAATCAAACATCGAGGGAATCAAACGTCGCGATAAACGTGAATCAAGAATCGCGCGATCCCATTTTGATACTTGCATCTATTTTATTGTCTATCGTATGTGCGAACGTGTCCGAGTTATCCTGACGATACTCAAAACTTGAACCGACATTTTTGACCTTGTAATTACAATGGGGAAAAAATAATCGAATAATTACAAAGGAGGAGAACGAAAAGCAAACGAATCCGGAGTTGGCGAGATACATTCTAAATCTTATTCGTCGAAATTCCACTTGTCGATTAATTTACTGTTAGCATTACGTGACTGTTTCTGTCTTTTTCCAAACGATCTAGAGGTTCAGGCTCACGAATAAGAATTTCTTACATATCACGTAACAAATACGCCGTGACGTTGGGAAATTTGGATTAATTTAAACCAACGATTAAAAATCAGTTGCTCGCGTCTGCCAGTTAAAAACCGCGCTTTGCGGCGGTTTCCGATTGCTTCGTTACTATGTACAAAATCGACCCGTCAATTATTCAGTCACAGCGTGCTCCCAGTCTACAGAGTTCGAGGAACATTGTTGAAAAAAATGGTCACGCAGGTCAAGAGCGCCCTGCGAGAATACGTAGCGGATACGTAGGTTTAAAACGGTCCAACGAGCCAGCGTAGCCCGGCGTTATCACGATAAAATAATGTCTTTCGCGTTCCGTATGTGTGTGTATAGCCGTCTAAAAAAATGCGTTACTCTCTATGGGTAATGTGTAATGAGGTTCCTTCGCAAAAATATCTTTTTAAAACTATACTCGTGTGAGTGTGTGTGAGTGTGTGTATGTGTGTGCTTACGATCGCTCTCGAGTACGGGCGAGTAACGTTACTCTCTTAGGAAACACCCATGATTCCGAATCGCGTGCGTAAAAACTGCAAAGATACGGCGCGTAACTGAGAGATCGCTCGATACACATCGCACCATAAAATGCATTCGCGTACGAAACGCCGTCTCTCTCGTCTCTCTCACTTCGCATCCACGGAATCTGCGGACGAGTAATCGTTGATGAGTAAAACGCTCGCATGACAAAACCATGCGATCCTACGATAAATACGATCGCGAATCTGCTTCTACCGGCTGAAAAAACGTCTGTGGAAAACTATCGCTCCATCGTCTTGTTCCCTCTCTCTCTCTCTCTCTCTCTCTCTCTCTTTCTCTTCGTCTCTCTTCCTCTCTGTACGCGGTTACATACACATATGTAGGGATAAATAATCTAAGAACGCATATACCGGCATAGGCCTATCTCGTATATAACGGTAAGTCGGCCGTAGTGTTTCTCACTGTATCTCGCTATTAATCACGCAACTGCAATTTTACACGCTCGAACGTTCGCCCATGAAACGGACGCCCCTGGTCGCAAACAGAATAATACACTGAGGATGTTGCAACCGATGATGCTTACTTCTATGCTACTTAGGCTTCGTCGGCAAATTTACGGGAAAGAAAAACACACTCACGATTGCCACTCTCACGCGTGAGAGAGACCGTGTTGCAATACGATTGTGTATTTAACGTCGCGTTCCCACGACTCGTCGTTTTCGCGTCCGAGAGGAATCGCGGAAAACTCTTTCTCTCTCTCTCTCTCTCTCTCTCTCTCTCTCTCTCTCTCTCTCTCTCTCTCTCTCTCTCTCTCTCTCTCTCTCTCTCTCTCGCTCGAATAAATCATAGACGTACTTTTGATTATAATTCTCAGAGACGCTCTCTGTATAGTCGGATGATACCCGGACGAGCGTCCCGAAGCGTATTAGTTAAGCTGTATAAATGGCAAAAAGTTGCAACGTTCAGAAGCAAGATTGTGTGCGCAATCTCGCTTCGGAATCATCGGGAGGATTTTATCCTCCCGATGATTCCGAAGTGTCTTTGACTGTTCGAGAGCAGTAAATCACAGCGATCACCGTGGTTCGGTATGCGATACGCTCGGGCTGGGCTATACGCAACATTTTTTATGCGCCGTGACGTCTCGCATACTTTTTCACGCTTCAATGGATCTCTCGCTTGAGCCATCGTGTCGGAATCGTAACAAACGATGAAATCCATATCGACCGCGCGAAATTGTAGCCGCGTCGCGATTGCTTCTAAGCGATTGATAGTCGGTTTTGAAACACGCGATACGCTTTGCATATTGACAACACAACACGAATTCGGACGCGACCGAAAGGCTGCGAGTTATAACGACTCGCGAGCGCGATCGAAGCGTAGAGAAATTGATCGTCGGTGATTCATCGGGGACGTGTCTAATAATTCGTCGTCCAATTCATCGGCTAATTGATTAAACTGAAAGCTGGTTAATTACATTTCTGCGCGACGATGTTCGACCCTCGCGGTCTCGACGACGAGCGAGTCGTCAACTGCCGGTTGCGTTCGCGCCGATCATGATCGGCATGGATCACCGGCATTGTTTCTGTTCGGCTTTCGCATGATCCACGGTAGCCACGGACCTCTTGGACGATCTCTTGGCCTCCGACTTGCCGGCGCCATTGACACCTTTCGAGCTGGTTGCCGGCAGCGAGGTCACCTTCGGCGACTTTTTCATATTTTTCTGCTCGCTGGAAGCCTCCGTCATCTTGTCCAGTTCCGCCATCGCCTCTTGTATCGCGTTTTCCAATTGCATATTCAATTTACGACTTCTAGAAAAATAGGGGAGGAACGAGAAAATCGTACAGTTAGTACAGATGATTACCAGCGACCGGTGCGTGCGAGC